GGAATTTGACGGAAAATCTGCCTTTGAGGTTCGTGCACTGGCAGTGTCCTAGCTATGAAGTATTCCTCCCAGTCATTAGAAAACATGTACCTGAAATTGTCCTTCTTCAAGAACGTTTCAGCTTTATGTAGCTAGTTTAGGTTTGTAGTGTCGTGAACAGAGTCATTTGAATAAATACAGCCGGGGATGCCATTCCCTCCATCTGCTGTTGTCATATTACGGTAAGGAATAACAGAGGCTTCACCATCAAACCATTCAGTAAGACTTCGAGGTCGGCGCGTCATACCAGGTCACTTTCGGTTAGCCTCATCTACAAGGGAGTGGTTGTCAGGAATAGAAGAACGTGCATGTTTGAACGCAAGCCGCATTTAGTACCTACATTTCTAGTTGTTCCTTCCAGTTGGAGCCGTGTATTTAGGAGAGGTGGTAGTCTGGGGCGAAACGTCTGGCCCCCGGTGACTTTGCATCTCTAGGCAGTGAAAGGCGATGGTCCTCACGTGTTGAATAAAAGTTCGAAGTTTATCTCGGTGCTGCATGTGTTGGTATGATCCGCCATTATAATCTGCATATCGGGCGATAAAAAGAAGCGTAGGGGCATGAGAGGGGAAGTTAGCTGTCTTGGAATTTGGGTAAGTAATATTGAAGACTAGAGAATCTAAAGAGTATACTAGGGATAAGGGGCCATATAGTCCGATAATGTACCTGTGGAATACATTTGAGGTTTTATGTAGTGCATTTCTCACGTCCTAGTTTTAGCTGTATTACAAATGCTTAAATATGGTGACTCTGTTTCCCATTTGATAACCCGTAAGAGCTTTGATATGGATACACATGGTTGAGGGAGATATTTACCATAGTTCTGAGGGGAGAAAGGGTGAAGGGCTTATATTGGATCTACTAACCTCAGACAAAAATGGTTTCCATAAGCCCCCACCATCAGATCCTCCATTTCGTAATATCAAGCTGCTTTTACATTTTGGAATATCTTTCGGCCTGCCACTTATACTCCTGTAACGTATACTACCATGAAATTTCTTTTAAAGAAACTTTTTTCCTTCGCTAATTGTAACTTTTCTTTCAGAAGCCCATGACTACTGCGCGTTCGCTTTGGTATTGTGGAGTGGAGCTATGTGGGCAGTTGGTCTGCAAGGTATGCCCGGAGTCAGTCAAGAGTCAGAAATATGAGCTCTAGTTGCCATATGCTAAATTTACTCGCTTGGAGTGAGGAGTAAAAGATTTATTTTCCATAGTTCAGGATGAACAGGTGCTGAATCGAGAGATCAGTTGGGTTACGAAGAAACGGAGGCTACACCACGGTCTCGGCTAGAGCGATTCTAGTTCTAGTGGTGTATTGGGAGTTTGTATGCCTAGTACACTACCTTCATGTGTGAAGCAGGTAGCAAGCTGATTACTAAACAGCTCAGAGATCTTACTTGGGTCATCGTAAAAAACATCCCTATCAGTGACCAGACTACTAGGAATTACTCTGGATACGTTTTGCACGGTATTCTAGAACTCTCGCTAGTGATTGAACATTACCTGTTTTGCGTTACAGCCACTTTCCTGCTTGATTGATCCCAGTGACTTGTTTGGCTTGAAGTTCTCATGAATAATTTTTGATGGGATAAGGGGCGAAAAGTCATTGGATCGATGGAAATTTCTGATATGCTTGCGTATGCTGATACGTACATTTTCTGTAAAGGAACTCGCTTCCAACTTTCTAATTACTACTGATATCTCAGGAGCATTATGATCGTGAATTAAATTCGTGAAAATATAGATATCACTCAGTTCATGGGTTGGGCTGCTGGTGAAGCAAGAGTCCCAGTTCAAACATCGCAACATGTACTGCATCTCTCCCCGGTTAGCACTGTTTTCGATCTGGGAGCGGACGTAGTACTAGGAGACAGTCGGAAGTCACCAAAAACTACTCTGTGATCGCTTCCCGGGAATTCTGGGCCGACTTGATGAGTGGAAGGCAGTAATCCGCTAGTCAAAAAGACGTCATGCATGATATGGCATCCAGCTGGTTGTACTGCATGCTGGTGCCAACCCCCAGAATCTAGCGCGTTAATGAAATTATCAAACCGCCTGGGGGAATTAACTGGCCGCCGCTTGATGTCAGGCATATTAAAATCTTCTCACACGAGTTTTGTGTGGTAGGGTAGTGTTGTTGCATGCGCGAACACTTCTACAAGCCCGTCATCATAATCTACAGTAGAGCAAGGGAGACTTAGGTAAACCCTAAGAGGATAGTTATGGCATTTGGAAACTTTCCCGCAGCCCACACTGAGTCAATGAGAAAATTGAGTCCTGGACTACTGCGATTTGTCGCAGCAACGTCGAACCTGGTATAGATGGTGCAACCACCATATCTATCTCCTCCAAACAAAGAATAATCGTCGACAGAAACATTACTGTCAGGAGTACCGGAAGTACACCAAGCTTAAGCGATAGATATTAGGCGGGGGTTAGATATAATCGGCAGCATAGTGACCCCACTTATTTTCTTGCTTGTGGAAGGGGTGTTAATCAGGCGGAAGGTCAAATAATTGGATAAGCAGTGGTACTTAAACCTGTTTTCGAAAAGCCTGTTCTGGTAGGTTAAGCTAATCTGTGGCGGTGAGAAACACGGGTAGAATTTATTTTACGGGGACATGCTGGGGAATAGGATATTACTGGGTTGCTATCATTATTATTAGTAGTGGTAGTAGTAGTATTGTCCTTTATTGTGTTAGTTATCGACCTACGGATGCCAGCCAGGGGGATGGCGGGTTGGCGTAACGTCTTCCCCGCCACTCTGGCGGTTGTGTCAGGGCTGAAAGCAGCTGGCTCAAGGGCGTTATCATTTGAACACTAAAAGGTGCCGTCAATTTCTGCGGTCTGTGAAAATTTGGAATTTTAGTATGAGGCCAGTGTATGGGTGTCTGTGAAAGTGAGCCATATAAATCCGTGGTTTCACCTCTGCGTGGTAAGGGGTAGGATGCACTATGTGGGGGGCTAGCATCACGAGCGTCATCCGAGCAGCGAGCTTCCGGTTGTGGGGCGGTATCATTGTACTGGTGTGAGCATGCATTGGAGCTGAATGTTGTGTAGGTTGTTGTGAGGAGAAAAACCTGTTATTTCTCCCGTCGCCGTCGTTTTCTTGACTATGTGGGGATTTGTTTTATGAACACCCTTACGTACACACCCTTTCTTTTTACCACCCTGTGTGTGCGCCTTACCTTTCTGTTGGTTAATGGAGGTGCCGTAGTGCCTATTGTCGTACCGATGGGCGTCATGAATGTGTCTGTGTTGGGGAACAGGATCACTCTTTGAATGATGGTATAACCACTAGGTTTAACAGATTGCGAGCAATTATCTCGAGGATGACTAAGTCGGTCCCGTGCTACGAGCTTTGGCGGCAAACCCGTACTACAATTTTAGGTCTCCAAAACATAGCACTTTGAGGCTGTGCAGTGTCAGTACACCCGGAGGTTGTCATCGTATGTGAGAGACTTGAGAGGGGTAAAGGCTTGTCAGCGTAATTGCATCTGAGGGATGCAGGTTTTGCCGGTGCATTCAGCAGGATGAAGTGCATATCGGATATATCATTACCGTCCCCATCTAGATCAACGGCATTTGCGAATAAAATCTGCCTAACTGGTGGAGATTTCACCTCCAGTCTCAGTGGTTACCACTTTGTCGGTAGGTGAAACGGTAGCAACCAATGTACTTGCAACAAATGCTAGGTCAGTCTTCGTCGATCTACACTTGCGATGTTATCTGGTACGATGAGGTGACTCTCAGGTATGTCTTGAGGTGCCACTGGTTCAGACGAATTTCCCAGAGGGACTTCATAAGTTTTCGAACGTCGTGTGCGTCACTGACAGAGGGTAAGATCTGGAAGCACCCTGACATTCCCGCAGAATTTCAAGTCTTACACACTTCTGTGAGCCTTGAAAGTGTCCCGCATCAAGAAGTGAGTTGAACTGGAATAATTTCGGATAGGGGTATTTACTAATCCTCTTCCTAAGACGCCGGGTTATTCAAACAGATTCGTGTAAACCAGGGTTTGGAGATAATTTTTAACACGTTTTAAAGGAAAGATATCAGGGATGGTGAAGACAACGGAGTTATGAAACGAAGTTGGTCGTTTGTTGGCCCCAAAGGCTACAAAGTTCACTAATATTCCACACTTGATGGGACAATCCACTGACAAGTGGGCAGATCAGAGGTGTAAGACAATCCAGTTTAGGCTGCAGATCACCAACCGCTTGTTAGCCATAACACCATTATATACGTCAGTCATGATGTCTAACAGATCTGCAGAGGGGCTGTTAGTAAATAAACTGCTTCAAGACCCTAGCGACGGATCCGAAACTCTTGGTCTCTTAGGTTTGTGGATTGGTTTATTTACGGCAAAGATAACATAGCTCATGTTGAGGTTGCAAGGCACAGACACCAAGCAACGGAAAAATTTGTTGTCTGACAGTAAAATAGCAAGACTGAGAACCAATCTGCCACACGGACTAAGGTTGTTAGTTGTCTTTCAACATAAGCTTCGGCAGTAGACTGGTCTATAGAGCAGCGAAGTGCCACAACTTCCTGTCAAATAGCGAAGCATACTAAGGTGCAGCCTATTATTTCAAAATTCACGTAACGATGAAAGCCAGAGATATCCCAACGACAGTAGCAAAGACGGTGGCAACAACAGTTAGCAGATAACATGTATGTGCAGATGCTTCAATTTGTGGGCGAAAATTGTAAGTAGATCGTAGCCAGGTTACTAAAATGCAAAAGCGTGAGGAAAATGCAAAGGAAGTAACCTGTGCTTTGAACATTTATAGCCTCACTGGCCAAAGATAGCTCACTCTTACGATCTGAGGAAACAATAAGTATTCTTCCCTCTTCTAGTGTCACAGTTTACAGCACCATGGAAGCACTCCACCAGGAGGAGCTGCTGTGGTGCGCCGAAGTTGGCGTCGAAGGAAGTTAACCCAAACGACGGTAGTTTTTGCATGAAGTTGAGGTATGTTAAGAATGGGACATCTGTTGAAATGTGCGGCAATATAAAAGGAGTATATTCTCCGTCTTTCCTGTCTAAAAGTGAGCTCAAACGACACCATGAACGGGTGAACAACAAGCACCAAAAATATTGGCGCGTTATGAAAGCATGATGCGAGTTCAGCAAGTTCTTGTCTCGTCAACAGCTTACCCAACTATTAGAGATGTCGCACTGCAGGTCTCCAACAATCTCAGGTGCAGTAAAGCCAAGTTATGACAGTCGTCCCCATTACAACTGTGGTTCGTAAAGGGCTGCGTCGAGTCCGCTGTCACCCCCTCTCGGAGGCTTTTGCAGACGGGATTGGGTTCGTGGTGTAGATGCAGGTACATTTTGCAACTCGTCTATGTAGAGCAAGGGTGTTAAAGGTACTGTGATTTGACCACTCCGGATTATCAGTAGGCGTTGGGGTTCTGACAGGCTGGATGCAGAATACTAACTAAAATTTTTCGGGCTGCTTTCAGTTTTCTCACCCGCAGTTCTAGCCACCAACGCTTAGTGAGTGATCATTGGCTGTGGTGAAGATACATTAGGGAGTCTTGCAGGCGGGACTGCACCGAATGCAGCGCGCTGTTACTAGGACTGTTAACAAACATGTAATGAACAAGGGGAGCTAAGGTGAAGGCAAAATAAGTACGGCTGTAGAAAGTGGATATTTTAAGCCATAGGTAGTCAGCCTTCGTTTGTTTATCTGGTTTTGTGACTGAGGAATTCCAACAGCTTCCCGCAAGTCTATTTCGCATTTTGAGTGAGAAATACAGGGCTACATATGCATCGATATGAGGTATAGCAGTTTACTAAGACAGTTAGACCTGACAAACAGTTGTTTCCTCGGAAAGAGATAGCGGTGGCCATGTAGGAGTTACGTGCTTTGTTGGTTAATTGTTGCAGCATCACCGGACCGTAAGAGAAAATTTCGACTAAATGATTTTAACTGCTGGGTTTCACTGAGTTGGATAGAGACGAAATTGAGCAAGCCAGTAAACAACGGGCCGGCATTTTTCCGAGGTTAAAAAAACTATCTCTTGCATGTGGTTAAGGATTGTTCCCTGAGTTCTACACCTGCATCCCTGATAAAAAGCCGTTACTGAATGGTTACGACTTTTATAACAGTTATAGAAAAACCGAAAGAATTTCAGTTCCTTTAGGAATTGCAGCAACAAAAGAAGTTACTTGTAAAAAAAGTATCATGGACACAAAATAATGCCAATCAAGTACAATACTCCTCAGAACTCACATAGACAAATAAATAAATATTTTTATTCTCAGGCTATGAAGCTAACATGAGGGAAGCCGGTTTACAGGCATCATCAAACTGGCAATTGCGGAGAAACCCAAAGGGTTTGAGTAGTGTTGAATGGTGCAGAAGGGGACATTAAACTCTAACGTGATGTCAAGTGTCTAAAAGTTATGAAAGGAGCAAGAAAATATCACTTTACAGTACATACACATCGTTGTGAGTTCATATCACTCCTACTCACAATTCTTTTTTCACACTAAATTGACATCAAATCGGCACAATATTCGGTGATTGCGCTTTGGGTAGTCGACATGATTGACCCGTCTTCAAAACCCTATTTTTCGTCACTTAAGCGTCTATCTTAACAGCAATTCTTATGTTCCGTAGCTTTATTCACCAAAAATAACCCCCCTCAGTGATTTCAGGAATAAGTAAGTATCCATCCATTCATTTAATCCAGGTGAATATCCAAGTTTAGGCATTTCCCACCCTCCAAGTGTTATCTTTCCAAACAGCTCAGATTGATAATGCTGAAAGTATTTGTTGTGGTGCGAATAATTAAAGACTGGAAGAATCATCGTTCAACAGTGGTGAATTTTACTTGTGTAAAACTTCGTAGACTTTACATAAAAGTATGCAACATTCTCAAGGAGATGCATTCACCGCTAGTCGACTCCTATTAGATGGATTCATACAAGGCAATGTACTGGAGAAATCTGTTGCACAACATTATCATGGATGTGTAAAGTGATCTCCTGGATATGGTTGGTTATCCAGGTTTCCGCCACATTTGTGACGGACCAGAAATCGGAGACCATTTATTGTGCTTGAGGTTTCGTATGTGATAGCATTTAGGCTACTGGTACGGAAGTTAATTGATTGTGAAGCCGTTCAAGAAACAAGAAATCGGGGGTAAGCCAGTTGGATGATTCTAACATCAGTTTGCAATATTACGTACAAAGTAGGGTTTTCAGTAAGTTGATACCCTTTGGTCAAGTTAATGCTTGGGGTTTTCTCGTCAGGTTGATACCGAAAAGAGAAGAGAAAAGAATGCGTAAGGAGAAACTGAACAATGAAATACCACGTAAACAGACTGGGAAGAGCGTTCTTGTCGTTTTAGAGTCATTCGAACTGTGTGCAAGCTTCAATTTATGCACATAGGAATGACTATTCCTTTTTTCTTACATGAAGTTCACGCGGGTTATTGGATAGGCAGTTTTTGTTGGCAAACTTGAGTGAAACACTGGTTATGCATTTGTACTGCACAATCCAACCGGATGAACTGGCAATCCCCCACCCCCCCCCCATTGTGAGTCCTTTGAGGCAAAAGGCACTTGAGATTAATGATAACCTTACTCTATACGTTTAGAGGTCCTGGTATGTTTCCACTAGCCCAGAACGTATAGATAGTGCCTGGGCGAGCGATAGACTCATCATGTCAGGAGCTTATTAAGTGAGGAACGAAAGACAGATGATGGGCCTGCAGTGCGTATTTCCTCATTAAGGCTACTCCAGGTGTGAGAGAACTTATTGGGGAAGAGAGTTTCTCGCAATTCGGTCCTACAACACTCATTTTCAGCAAATAGACTGTGGTTACGTAAATAGTGGATGGATGTTACAACTACTCGAATTTCCGGGCCACATAAGTGCATTTGCTCGCGAAGCAATTTACTGTAATTTTTCCGCGGGAGCTGTGATTATGGAGCTCTCTATTTGACCGCATGTAGGCTGAATACCTACCATCCACCCTGTTCCCACAAACTGAGCTAGGTAAATTATTGCAGCAGCTATGGTAGAGTTGACGAATACGTTTCACAAAATAATGGCCGACAAATTATTCATTCAAAAATTTCAGCCAGCATAACACAGTAAGAAGACCTTGAATCCCAAACGCAACTGTAGCAGAAGTTGGACTTTTCAGTGCTGAAGAGATTTTTGTGTGGCACACCGATCAGCCATTTTCAAAATTTTTGACAGATTTTGTGGCAGCAGTAATATATCCCAAATCTTCTGGATTACTATGCTGTGAAGGCTACACAAGTGAAAATTGCTACGACTTTTGTTTTTGTGCTGTTCTTCCACTTACGAATTATATCTGTAACCAAGTGTATAGTGATATGGCACGGCCGCATAGTATATTAACGCCTGAATTACCTGACCTCTCCCAAAGCAACAAGTATTCAGGAATCACCGGCATGGTAGTTAAACTGAACACCTGACAAACCTACTGCTTTCACACTTTCCCCCTCAAACAGAGTTTTCAGCAAGTAAATATATTATGCTTGGATAATCACGTTTAAGTGCATTCTACTGACATTGTGATTCTTGAAGTGACCAACACTTTGGAAAAATGGCCAGCAAGAAGTGAGAACTGCAGGCGTTTTCCTTTGTTTCCTTCGCAGATACAAAATAAAATCTCATCCGATGAGAATGAATGCATTATGCACAACCGCACACTCAGCGAACAAAAACGTACTGAAAACAGTCTTCGCTGGCTAACAGCTACTACTAACTTGCCGAAATCTTCACCAGCAGTAATAAGCATAAGTGAAGTGGTAATAGAGGTATGATATCAACTGCTTTTTGTTGCATATACTCGGGTGATTTGGTTCTCAAGTGTGATTTATTTAATTCAGCTCGGAAATTTAAGCCGATATGCTCCACGGGATTTAAATAATTAGAGGAGTGTTTGAGCCCAAAATATAATGAAAAGATACGCTGAAAACCGATTAACAGAAGTCGAAAATTCTGCGCAGCATGACGTTTGCCAAGAACACTGCCCACTAATAACTTCAGAAGGTAGGGAATATAAGGCATGAATGAAGGAGTAGCTGATATGACAATAGTTTGCTTAGTGAACAGAAATAGGCGTACAGCTTAATAACTCAGTACAGAGTGTGGTGTCAGATGTGTACTCTAGAATAACGCGAGTGCAGTTTGGCATGTATCAGAGCCCCAAATAATCGGAAATGTTACTCAAAACTTTCGCTATGTATCGCACATCGTTAAGGGCCAAATGACCAACAAGTGAAGAACATTCGTTAATGTTGAAGATTACAGTTTTTCAGGTAGAATTCTGCAAAACGAAAAAGTACGTAGCTGAAAAAAAAATGTGTTGGCACTCAAATCTAAAGACATTAAATGTCTAAGGGAGACGTGATATACAGTAAATGACAATTTTACAAATCGAAAGGCGCATGAGAGAAATAATTCCTCTTGAGAAACTCACTGAAGGGATGAGACGTTAGCATGAATTATGTGATGTATGATTGTAATAAAGTTCACTTATCATGCTAAATATTAAATAGTAGAAAATCCTCGGACTGAAGAGATGGAAACGAGGAGTAAGTTTGCATGGCACATCACAGTCAAAAGCTGACTCCTAGTGTTAAAAGACCTTTCAAAAGAATCCCAATAAGAAGTTGGTGCGATGGTGTACCGCTAAGGGGCACTGTGAGCATTCTCTGAGGTTGCCATCACAACCAACCACTAATCTGACATCTGAACCGGGTAATGAGGGTGGAAAATAAAATAACAGGCATTATTACACTACAGCTGATCAAAGTTCTGACCGTAGTTATCCAAAACTGTTGTAGCACAAAAATATCCTGGTCAGACTACCTTCTCGGCAAGGCTTCAATCCCGAAAGATGTGGGTTTATATCTACAGCAGTCAAGTTTCTTCATGGAATCCTAGAAAATATGAATGAGTTAGTAGGCTGTGATTCCCTTGCTTTGTACGGGACGCTTTTACGTTTGCTGCAGAGTTTGGACATGACTATTCTATCACTGGATATGCAGAAAAGCTGAGTTATTAAGGCCTACATAAATGTGCGATGTGCACTAGATACTAGAGCACAGACATGTAGCAAAGCCCGATGCTAGCCGTAATTATCGACCTAGAGGTACCGTTCTACGACGACAATGAAGAGGTCTTATGATAGTGTCTCGCAAAAAGTGTTGCCATATAAGCGCAGCAATTATTGAAGGCTCTATACTTAAAAATGCGTGAGGGTACTAGGGGCTATGGTGAGTAATGTACGTTAAGTGGTATCTGCCAAGGATACTCACTCTCTCCATGCTCATCTCACTTTTTCATAGGCATACTTATAGAGGTCTCTTTCGTCGTCTGACGTCACGGAGATCGGTCTTGTCACAGGAGAACCCTTGGTATATCTAGGGCACACAAATGACGGTCCTGTCAGCTGGAGACGCTGATAAAATGATAAGTCTTCTGGACACATTGAGTGGAAATTTGAGAATGTTTAGGATGCGTTTCCTGAGACTCAAATGTACTTTGGTGCTCAAGGACTGCTCTTCATCTGTGTCTTGTTTAACAGCAGAGAGTGAGACTGTTTAGGATGCTGACCACTTTACTGAGATGGATCGTTCAACGTTTTGGCGTTGGATGAGCAGAGTTCCGCCAATTTTTTCTGCAGCTTGAAAGCTGCATCTAACTTCTGGATGCTACAGGTTGTACAGTGACACATCTAGTTGTGATCCCGGGGAATATCACTTTTAATGCGGTTACGAAACGTGGTTGTTCTCTCAGGGTTTCTGAGCCGACTTGTAGTTTTTAAAGTATTACTTCACTATCATGTGCGATTACTCTCATGTGTCATGGATAGCTAGGTAGGATGGTGGGTTCTGACTATGAATTTATCACTGACGCCATTTGAGGAGACTTGTAGTCTTTGACATGTCACTTCCGAGTCTTGAGGCTGGGTTCTTTTCGCTTGGTTATACTCCCTCGGTAGTCATCTAAGTCTTTACAGCCTACTTCCCTACAGTTTGGAGGTAGTGATTGTCTCTTAAGTTTTCTTTCTCAAACTGTTATTTTATTTATTTGGGAGAGCAGTGAAAATGTTGACAAGATTGATTAGCTTCTCGCAGTTCCTAGTTTTGTGGGCACTTGCAAGTAAATATCAGGAGTTAATTGAAAATTAGTGTGCGAAATAGGGTAAATGGGGAGTGAGGGAATAGGAGTGAAAAGTACTTACGAAAAATAAGCGTTACTAGTAATAGTGCGGAGAAGTAAAGAGTTTTATTGTAGACAGTGGGGTTGGGTAATACAAGGATAGATTAGCATACCTGCAACTGCCATAGGCGTATGTTGGTGTAAAGCCGTTTGCATCCATGTACTTGTTGGGCATACTTTTGAAGAAATCAAGTGACTCAGCTGTGGCAAAGTCGTTCGATCTAGTCTCCCACACGACAGAAACGCTTCATCTGAAGGAGTTATACATCGCTGCCGTCTTTGCCCTCTGGTGGGGTGTGCAAGTGGGATTCACGAGACTGTCAGTAGTGGACCGATAATATTGCCATTTATAAGGTAATCTGCTTGATGGATGATCTAGTGAACTGTTATCATGAAAGCCTGTGCTTGTTAGTTTCGAAACGAGGCAATACCTGTCAGAAAACTAATTCCCGAAGTCCTCGTCCATTTGAAACTGTTTTACTATGTTCTTGAAATCCATCAGTATTGGCTTTGTGAACATAAGGCGGGGTTTTAAAAGTTGTGTGTACGTTCAGTTGTTGTTTTCTAATTCCTTTTGCTTTTCATTTGAAAACTATCTACGATAGCCTAAACTTTTAAGAATCTCGCAGACAGGAGAAAATAATGTCTCACGTATGTAAGAAATTAATGTTAAAGGGCAGCTATCTGATCAGAGAAATGTTACTTCGCACCCCTAGTAACTCATAGAGGGTTAACAGGCAGAAACGAAAACTTATGCGAGTCCGAACGCATATTTAGTAGTTTAGGATAGTCAAATGGCTTTTGGAGGCGGTTTCTTATTATTTTCCGCCGGCTAGTTATCCACTGCACCCACGAATAACTTGATTGGTATTTGTAACGTAGTACTGAGTGACAGTTTTCTGCTGTACAATGACATAAATTAAGGGAACCCTAAAGTGACTGTACGGTTTGGAATACCAAATCTCAGGTAATATGGCAGATGAGATTGCTCCATTCATACATCTTACCACATCTGCTTTCGAAGGGTTGTTCTGACTTGTGTTGGAAATGATAATGAAGAGCTTTCACACCAATCCATCAAGATATTACTGGTAAGTAATTTCTTCTGACAGATTATCGTTATGTAGTGAGTATTTTGGCTACTTGTATAGAGGATATATATGTACGGATTCTGCCTAAATAGTTCCACTAACACTGTTCTGGTATGTTAGTTGGTTGGAGACACTTAGCAGGTAGCCCTGGACCTACGTTTCGTGTTCATTGGTACTCTTAAGCAAGGTGGGTCCGCAACCCCAGGGGACCGGTGTCACTTCTGAGATTCGAACCCGTTTCATCCGGTGTTGCAGTTAGTGACGTTGCCACGGAGCTAGTCGAGCTGACTCCAGTAGGACTGGATTACATACATTGATCGACCCTTTTAAAGCAACCAGCCTCACGTTGTCTAGTCTTGATTGCTGACCAGATTCTGTCGCCCATCTTGCGACGTAGTCATGAAGCTAGGAGGCTCATCATGGTGGTAACGTCACTGCCTGCAACTGGGTGATGTGGGTTTGAACTTCGAACCCCTTGAGGTTGCACATACGTCCTGCTGACGAGTGCCAATAGGCACTTTTTAAAATGACCGTTAGAATTCGATCGGTACTCAGCACTACATAACATGAGATTGGTTGCTCTCCTGTGACTAGTCAATGTACTGTACAAGTATAAAACGTGGGTTCTCAAAAACCTATATGCATCTTAGCGAAGATCACTTTTGTGCCTATTAGTTGTTCTGTAGGATACAATTTCTTACAGTCCTCCTATCAAATGATAAGTAGACCATTCTACCCACAAGACATTGGTCAGTAGATTACATTAACGTACTCTAACTAAATGTAAATTATTAGCACTTTGTTGATGATTACTAGCAGTCATCAGCTTCTTGTCCAATGTGAATTTAGGTAGTTTGTCCGAGGACAGTGCTTCCTGAAATATCAAGCCATCTAGTCTTCATCCTGACTATTCCCATCAGATTGACGCTTATATTGGAACTCTGATTCCTACGTTGTTTCAGATATGTCTGACTACATGAAGGACTTTCTTTACTCATATCAGTATAGGGGTGGTGGTGTGTATCTAAATTCTACGTTGGTAGTTGTCTTGGAGAATTCACGAGGACATGATCATAAATAGCCATTATGAATGTCTGAGTTCGATTTCATTTGTCTGATGGGATTTATTAATGCGTTTGAAATGAAACATGAACCCATTATCATCAGAATTATGCCGGACGGAAAATATCAACACAGGACCTGGTGGTCCAAGCAGCTGCATCTCATATCAGCACATCAAGCGACAATACACTAAGACGAAAGAAAAGAAGTAAAGAAAGCAGTCGAGAGGAGTAGGAGGCCGTCAGAATAGAGCAAGGGGAAATCCGACAATGGGAGTCAGGATGAAAATAATGTATGGATACGCCTGAGCCTTTAGATTGACTCTAAGCCATATCACGTAGAGTCTAGAAGAACTGGTTTCTTTTGTCAGGCGGACCCCAGAGGGGAGGTCTACATCTCCCCACATGGCTCAAAATAACAGTCAGACTTCATGGACTGATACCCTGTTTCAATTCCACCACCTCTAAGCTTTCTACAGCCTAAACGTACTACAGTTAACATTGAGCGAAGAGGCAAATGGTGACTAAGCTTGCGTAACACGTCCCAGCTATCTAAGTCAATGAAGGTTCACAACCTCCCAGTTTAGTGATGGAGAGTAAAGCAGTGGAATGTATCAACTATTACACTTACTTGGGGAGTTGCGTCAACGAACGGGCTGGTTGCTGACGAAATCTCAGCTCGGATACAGAAGGCGCGTTCGGCATTTGCCAACATCCATCATCTGTGGCACCGACTAGCGAGATATCCAAGCATCTATCGAAGGATGAATATATTGCGATACAGTCCGTTCGGACTTGTACAGCTGTGGGACAAGGACGTTAAAAGTAGAAGATATGTAGTAATTATAAAGTTCTGGTGACAAGTGTCTTCGTAGCACTGCTTGCTTTTGGTGGAATCACTATGGGGGCAATGTTGAGTCAAGGGAAGGGTACTAGGCAAGATAGGCAAGCCAGTTGGTGAGGTTAACCTTCATCGGTTAAGTTGTCTTGGACATGTATTGCACATACCGAGTCACTCTCTACCTTGACGTGCCATGCTAGGGGAAGTTAGATTTAATTGGAAGAGGGTTTGGGGTGGCCAGACTAAGACGTGGCACCAGTCAATGAAATTTCTTACTGTTTGTCTAAGTTGTGTAGGGCGATGCAGACTACCTGGTTGGAGTCTCTGAGACAAAAGGAATGAGTGGTTAAGTACTCCTGGTGACATGGACGGGAATCGGTGACAGTGTCGCAGGTGTATTCACTCCTTGACATTTTCTAAAGCTTGAATACTTGCACTAACCGTCATCTTCTAATTGTTGGTTGTCTCACACAACTTTGTTTACTTTGATATATCTCTTTGTCTATCCGTCTTTTCTTTGTGTACTACTGTGAAGTGTGGCAACTTGAACATTGCAGTTGTGTGCGAGGTTCTACTTTGATTTTGTCAGTCAGTCTCCCTAAGACTCCATGCTTGCCTTTTACATTAGTGACGTGGTGACACCACGAAAGCAACTGTGGTTGGACACCTGAATCCCTCTCATATCCTCTTCCTTAATCACCATGTTTTGCAGTCACGTGGAGAGTAGACTGAACTGCATCGCAGTACACTCAGTCATTAATAATTAATCGAATGTCGGGCTGGCACTACACATGACGTAAGTTGACCAAAGCCAATCGAGCTTTTTGTATTCGTGCGGAGATTTCGTCGGTAACTTAACCTCTAGAGCTGATTCGACCTTCTTGGTAAGTGAAATGACCAACACGCTTAACCGCCACACTCTCTGCTGCTAAACAAGACACAGATGAAGAGCAGTCCTTGAGCACCAAAGTACATTTGAGTCTCAGGAAACGCATCCTAAACATTCTCAAATTTCCACTCAATGTGTCCAGAAGACTTATCATTTTATCAGCGTCTCCAGCTGACAGGACCGTCATTTGTGTGCCCTAGATATACCAAGGGTTCTCCTGTGACAAGACCGATCTCCGTGACGTCAGACGACGAAAGAGACCTCTATAAGTATGCCTATGAAAAAGTGAGATGAGCATGGAGAGAGTGAGTATCCTCGGCAGATACCACTTAACGTACATTACTCACCATAAGCTTTAACACGTCCATGCTAGTTCGAGTGGGTAGCCCTTTCAATTCTGATCAACGTTCTACCTGTCTGTCTTGGGAGGTTACCAGCGTCCTATCCTTCTTGGTCATGGTTTCACTAACCTTCGTCTTTTTCTAACTGGTATCCTTAGTAAGCCTAAACAGTTACGAGCGTTGCCCAACTTTAATGCATTTTTCCATCTCTGTCGCTCTCGTCACCCATCACTTCTCGCAATCGTCACGATTTCTTTGCTAGGTTATGTTTGAGTTGCTTTCTCTCTTCATTATTGTTAGAGTTTCCTGGAATCGGTGTTCTCGAATCAATCATTTCGGATGACTTTGCAGGAATTCAGTGACTTTTGCTAACCTTTGGGTGTAGGTTACCATCTGTCTGCCGCTGTTTCTACAGTAAACTTAGTATCATGCTAGTTTCCTTCAGCATCAGCATTGCTGTTATGTTCAGACCAATGCTTAGCTTACTTCTCTCTAAGTGGGTACTTGACCTCCTCATTTTCCGATTGAGTATAGACAAGCTTTACTGTCCCGTTTCCTGCAAACAGGGTGCAGACATTTAACTGCAGGTACCAACGCGTAGTCGGGATCGAAACAGTTACTCCAGAAAAAGCGACAACTTTCCACTGATCCTCTTCAACTATGGCTTATAGAAATGTGATATATCTGTGTTCGCCATTGTTTTGAAGCCGGTGGGCGTCATCTGAGACAGTGTTTCTCCATATGCTTAGAGTTAGTGCTGGCCAGAAACAAGTGGTTGTCGGAGTGAAATTGCAACAGGCGATCACCATTGTTGGTCTTTTGGCATGGGATCCCGTAAGAACTTCCAAGATGCCTTTCTAATTGGCTCAACTTCCCTACTTAAGTGTTAATGTCACTTGCCATTATGACTACACTTGAGAGTTTTGCTTTCTGCAGCAAACGTGGTAGCTTCTCATAAAATTTATCTCTTGCACCATCCGAACTGAAGTCTGTGAACGCGTAGGCGGAGTTTACGAATAGACATCGCTTAGTCTTGCGACCCTTCCTAGTTCTTATAGATCTATTCAGTCGAATAGCACACAGACGACTTGAGTGGTTGGTGGCCGAGAAGTGCACTTCCTGCCGTTTAACTCACTGCTACGCCTACACCAAGTGAACTAACTACTGGACCTCCGGATACTGGTAAGGTGAATTTCGAAGATTCACTACTATTATCAAGTGAAGTCAATTTAATAATCACACTCGGGTCCTGTTTACGTCTCTCAGAGACATAGCATACATCCATAGCTGGAGATTCCAAAGTTCTGGCAGGCAATGCTTG